TTGTTTCAGCAAAGAAAACTGGAAAATAATACTTTAGATAGATCTGATTGTTGGGTTTTTTTCCTCACTTCAGTTTCGTTCAGTTGCTTTACAGTATAATCAGTTATTTGCCCAAACCAATCTGTAATGTTAAAAAACACAATTTGGGCTTTTTTGGAGGACAGTTGCCTACAAAATCTCAGCCTATACTGGCAGAATGCAGTCCTCCCAGTGACAATAACTCCCAGAAGGGCAGAGCTCACTGAGGTGGTGTGATAGGCTTGGACCTGCGAGTAGACAGGTATGTGTACTTGCTACTTAAATACTGAATACTGTAAAATATATATTTACATTGATTTAAAAACTTAAGTAAGTGGCAGTCTAAGTTCTGTTGATGCTTTTCATTGAAAACAAGAGGTAGCTGGTCCCATAGTGAGTATCACAGAATATGCCAAGTTGGGAGGGACCCACAAGGAAGTGCAGCTAGGTCCAAGCTGAAGTGGCCTTTCTTGGGGAAGATTAATGACCTGGTACGAGCCTTCCCATAGCTCATTTTGGAGGATCCTGTTTGGATGCCAGCAAGTCATAGCAGTTCTGACTTATTATCACTCACAGGAAGGAGGTGAGGTGTGCTGTGAGGACAGAGGGGTCAGTGTCTTCAGGCAGCGAGAAACTGAGCATTGTTGTGAAGTCTCTGCTAAGTGAAAGAGAACTATGGATAGCTTTGCCATACTTCTTAAATATTCAGAATTGTGTTTCATTTTTACTACTCACTTGCTGGTTGGGAGTGGGTCACCACAGCCAGCATAGTTGTAGGAAAAAAATGTACGTGGTTACTCTACTTCTGTTATTCCCTTCTTTGGGCCATTGTGGATTCCACTATGTCTGTTAATTGTGTTTTATAAATGACATAAATGTACATGGAACATTACAACAGGGAAAATATGACAAAAGTAATACTACAGAGCATAATCCCTGCCTCAGGAGGTTCTATCCGAAGGCCTGAATATATTCATTGTACTTAGGGAGGGAGTAGTATGGAGATGTTATCTGCGCTTGGCTTAACATGAGATTTGGGGTTCTTACAATTGGGCAGGAAGAGGAATTGAACCTCTCCAAGGACAAGATATCTGAGGCTGAGCATCACCCATGAGGTTCTGGTGCTCTGAAAAACCCTTCTTCAAGGTGGATAGGAGGGATTTAAGCTCCTCATTCTAGCTAATGGAAAATGTTCGAGTGGTTGTTTTGGGTAAACAAAACAAAGATCTGAAAGTATTTACATTTAATTTAATTCAAAATGATAATTTAAAAAGCAAAACCCAAAGCGTACTTGGCAATTCACACAGCCTTGTTTAACACTTCTCAGGTGCGGCACAGTCGCTCTCACAGGATCGGGCCCTGAGGGGATGCCAAGAAGAGAAATGCTTGAAAGCAACATATGGAAATTGAACACGAAGTAAAAGCTTGAGTGGAGATAGGTGGGTTCAGGAGCTGTCTTCAGGAGAGGGAGCCAAGGCTATGCAGTGGGAAGTGTGTAGAAAATGAAAGGATGTAGAAACTGAAAGGTACTCAGCGGCAGTCATGTTAACGTAATCCGTGCAGTCATTTCCTCTTGACGAGTGTATGTAGCACATCACAGAGCTGGGCCTGTTGTCAGGGGAAGGCTAAGGCAATGCACACATGTGCGTGTCACGGACAGCAACGATGCGAGGGGTATGAGACAGTTATGGGGAGAAGCCACTGAGCAGAAGGCTACAAAAGATGAAAATGCATTCAAGAAGGGCTGTTATTTTTGTAATGAAACTGACCAGTTGTTCATAATTAAAAATACATCTCCCCAAGGTCACTTGAATTTTTTTGCCAGGATCACAAAGCTGTTCTAATCAACACTGGTGTTAGAGCTTGAATTAAATGTGTGCTGGCATCTGCCAGATTAAGTATCTTTGTTTCCTCCTCCCACTCCTTATAGGAAACTTGGATCATCTGGAAGGAGTTAAGTTCTGGAAGGCTCCAAGCCCCACAGAAGAGATTTGAGGCACAGCAAAACTTCTCCCGGAAGCTCTTGATATCCCACAGAAAGCCAATATCTGTTTGATCCCCATTTCCACAGACCTTGTGCTGGTAAACAACCCACTGACTTCCTGATGTGCTTGTGTGTCAGTGGGGTTTGAGCTCTGTCAGTCAGCCACAGGGACATGGAAATGACAGGTGCTTTATCTGTGTGGAATGATCTACTAAGGAAGGACAGACCACACTTTGGCTCCCTAAGACCAAAAAATTGTTTGAGTTTTGAATCTTTGAGCTCTTGCTTTTCCCACCAAAGTTAAACATTTTCCAGGAAGGCTGTCATACTCATGTCTCTTTCTATTTAAACTTATATATGGTATTGCTTACGGCAAACAGTCCATACAATTCTGCAAACCTTTAAACGTTGATCTCTTCCCTCCCAAAATTTCAACTGGACTTGCAGTACTTTTTTATCCAAAAGCATCTCAACTGTATGAGGACTGCTGTACAAATTTAAAATTTCACCTTGCATTATTCAAATTTTCTTAACCAGAATTTATCACTATTAACTGACATCCTCCTCAGCCCTGAGCATTTGTTGGGACATAGGAGGAGGTGTGATTAGCTTAAGCATCATGGCCTTGGTTCAGACCTTTTTGCTTTCCTGCAGGTGTGGGAGTTAATTTTGGTCCCTATTGGGTTACATCTCCTAGCAGCCTTTCTGCCCATTGCCTTCCCCACTCTCTGGGGCTGGTGGATGGCTGTGGAGTGTAGTGTCACTCACCTACATGCTTATTCTTTAGTGGTAAGCATTTAAAACCTGGAGAGGCAGTCATGGGCCTCCTTGGTTAAAGGGACAGTTGGAGTCACCACCACATCTGGGCTGCAGTTTCTTGAATTTTTCCCAGGCACTGATTGCTTGTTGTTTATCGGGAAGAAACTGAGAGAGGCCACTTCATTGTTTGTATCCAGTATGTTTTTTTGCAAGTAAATTGTCAGGATAGGCAATTGTCTCCTTATCCAAGTCCAAGGGATATCTGAGTCCAAGACAGCTGATGCCATTATATTGGGCATTCATTTTAGAACTGCTGAGCCCAGAGAAATCAATAGTTTTCCATTATCAGGTCCGGCTGGGTCACTAGTCTGTCAATGAGCTGTTACAATCACTGTACAAGGGTGAACCTGACCAGTCAATTGCTGCTGACAAGAAGAAAACACACTGACAGCCAATGGAACAAGCCAGAACACAGATTTGCACTTCAGTTTACCATCCGAGGAGACTGGGAGTAGGGCCTTTTCCAAGATGTAGGGCATGCACTGTGGGAGACGAAGCCGCCTCTCTCCCTCCCTCCCACACATCAAACGGGCCTTCCCTGCCCAGGGAATTAAGGTTTGTTTTCGTATTCCCAAACATGAGAGAACTCACTAACTGGAGATGAGGAAACCACCTTCTTTGGCAGCCAAAAAGAGATGTGCTAAAAGGGAAGGCTTCTGCTAGCAAGGCCAGAGGACCGGTCTTGTGTCTGCAGTGGCCATCACTGAGGGATGTGAGCTCAAGGACTTCTTGTCCATGGCAGGTGCTTGTGCCACATTAGGAAGGAATGCAGATGACAGGGTTAATTCCAGTTCTTGTCTATGTTTTAGTGCTGACTTCCTATCAAATTTGAGAGTGGAGCAAAAATAAATATTTAGAAATTATCCCAATATTATGATTTTTAATTTTCAACTTTATTAACTTCTTTCAAGTGTTAAATCCTGACCGTTTTATTTATGCCTCCGGTCGTCTGTTTGATTCTTGCAGAAGTCAATATTCGCTTGTGCTCCATCATCAAACAAAAAACTGGTAATCAACTTTATCACTGGAAGCCAACTAGCTGGGTTTTAAAAAATACACTACCCAAAAGAAAGATCATTTGCTTTAAATGAGAGGAGAGGGAAGTCTTTTTAACAGAGAAGAGCAAACCTTCCTTTGCTGGTAATTAGAAGCACCAGTCTTATATGACTTGCAGCATTTGGTAGCTCAAGCCGCGTCAGATCTCTTACAGCATTAATTAAAAAGAATTTATGTTTTTTTAATAAAATGCTTCATGTTTCAGCCCTTTTCTTCCTCCTTCCAAATGTGATTACGGGGGCTGAAGGGAATTCAGGTTAATATGTTGACACACTTAACAATGCGGGGTCATGTAGCACAATCCGCTCGGCTGGTTCGGCGCGGCGCGGCCCCTGACAGGTCCCATCAGCCGCTGCCCTAAAGGCAGAGGCGAGGGGAGGATTTTAATTACTGCGCTGTGCGCGAGTTTGCCAGCATTAAATTGAGACATAATTAGGCCCCCGAATTTTAATAATTGTCCTAGCTAATTGGGCAGACAAGTACGCTCTGCAGCGTGGCGTGATTAGATAATTAGTGTTTCCAAATGACAAAATTGGGCTCTTGATTGCAGATTCCAGATGCGGGGGGCGAGGGGGAAGCGGGCGGCTTTCTGCTCGGGCAGAGCCCAGTCGAGCCGAGCTAGGGGAGGCGACCGGGCCAGGTGAGCTGGGCCATGCCCGGACGGGGATCCCGGCGGGGAGCTGTGAGCGGGGACAGGAGCGGGCCGGCGGGCGCACCTCCCGGGCGCCTGATGCGCGTGTGCCCCGTGACGCGGCGTGAAGCGATTGACCTGGCGGCGCTAATTGATCGCCTCCACCCGAGGACGGTGCGGCACGAGTGGCGGCCACGGAAAGGACAAGCGGGGCCCGCGGGACGGACCCGCCTCGGCGGCGGCGGCGGCACCGACACGGGGGGGCGGCGGCGGCCCCGCCCGCGGCCGCCAGGGGGCGCTGCTCCCGCGCGGCGGCCGCTCCGCACCCTCCCCGCGTCCCGGCGGGGCCCGGCTCCGTGAGTACCGCTCCCCCGGCCCCCTCGTGCAGCAGAGGCTGGCTCCGTGAGTACCGCTCCCCGGCCCCCTCCCCCGGCGGGGCCCGGCTCCGTGATGTACCGCTCCCCCGGCCCCACCCGCCTCGCGTCGCCTCCGCAAGGCCCCGGCTCCGTGGGTACCGCTCCCCTGCCCCGGCGCCAGCACCGCGTCCTGCTGCCCGCCCCGCCCGGCCCTTCCCTGCGGCCGCTGAGCCGGTGCGGAGCGCCATCTCCGCCGCTCGGTGCCCCGCCAGGCTCCCCGTGTCTCCGCAACCTGCTCAGGAACCTTGCTAAGGAGAAAAATGGATTGGTTCCTTATACCTATTAAATGCATATAAATATATGTCTCTGTTGAGCTAGACCGGGGACTCGGATGGCCGCGGACACCTCCCCGGCAGCCACGGCGCTGGAGCCGCGGTGAGGCAGCGCCGGAGATGCTCGCAGGTGCCACCCTGCTGCTACGGTTACTTGCGGACTGCAGTCCCCGAGTGGAAATAAAAAATTTCCCATAAAAGGAATTTTAATTATACAACCGACCTCATGAATATATTTTTATATATATATATATATATAAGAAAAAAAAAAAAAAAAAGGCTGTACGCACAGAGGGCGCAGGGGTAAATCTGTAGCGAAGTGCCGAGCGGCGGTGCCGAGGCCCCGCACCGTCCCACCCCGGCCCCGCAGGTTGGAGGGCACCGCGGGCCTCCCTCCCTGCGGCGGGCAGCGCTCCCGCCGCGCCGGGGAGCCCCGCCGGCTGGCGCACCCTCGGGGCACGGGGAACCCCCGCGCAGGCTCTAGACCCTGCCGGACGGGGACTTCCTTTTGTTTGTTCTCATTATTTTCTTTGCGAAGAAGCAGGCGGTTCATGCGGCGGTATAAAGTTGGATCTCTAATAACAGTTAAAAATTAAAAAAATAGTTAAAAATAATTTAAAAAAAAAAGTTAAAATGCAAACGCTTTACTAGGAAGCGTTTCACGCAGCTGGTGCAAAATCATTTTTATTTTTTATCTACGGGAAAGGTAAAACAGGTTTATGATTTTTTTTTTCTGTGAGATAGCACTGTCATCAAAATACAGATGCTTTTCCTACATCAATGATTTTTCACTACAGCCTAAGGGCCTCTTGGCTTTAAAGCTCTAGTTATTTTTGCTAATATATCAAGAATTTAACTCCTGACTATTTCATAAATCAACTCCTGATGCACTGTACAGTATTTATATACTTATTTTCAGACGTACATTCTGGCTTAGTAGATTGCCAACTCACCATCTCAATGCTTCAAAGCGATGATGCTGGGAATTGTCAGCTCTGAAGACAAGGTTAGCTCACAGGATCAGGATGTGCTGTGTAAAATGCTGATTTATGAAAGTGTTACAATTCATGTGTCTTGCAGGTTGAATTGCATGCATTATATGATCTGAAATACACAAAGGATTGATCTGCAGTGTTTATTTTAAAACAGAATTCATGTTGTCTCCAAAGGTGAGGGTGCCAGTGATGTACCGGAGCAGAAGCTAGAAGGTCCATCTTTCAACCCACCCCAGCCTGGAGAAGCTGTGGCAAAGCACTCCTGTACCCTGATAACAAACCCCTGCGGCCTGACCCTCACCCCAGCATTGCTGGGAGCAGTAAGCACTCTGCCCTGCCCTGCCCTGCCCTGCCCAGGGTGAAGAATGCCTCCTGTGAGCCAAATAGATGCCTACTCATTTTTTAAAATCTTTTCTGACTTTGATGAGCTCCTGACCAGCAGGTGACACATCTTCGGGCCTACGAACTGCTGAGGGTGTTGCTTTCCCATATACAGTTGCTCTCTGACAAGCCTCAGTAGCCTCTGCAGCCAAGGGGACTCTGGGGGGCTCTGGCAGGCTTCATTTTGCTGTCCTCCTGCCAGCCTGTGGATAGTCTTTCCTATTGTAGGTAGGCCTGTGGTGCTCATGTGAAGGTGACATCCAGTTCCAGGTTTGCAGTTAATCAAGTCTACTTGCTCAAGTTGGACAATTTAATCAGTGCGTGATGAAGCCTTGGATATATCTGAGCTATATCACATTATCTTCAAATAGAAAGCAATCGTCAGAGGTTAGATGGGGGGCACTAACGACATAGTGGTAGTTGCTGCCTTGATCCTGCGAGAAATGCTGTGCAGTGACATCACAGTACAGCAGCGTGAGCACAGCAGCCTGTACCGTGTGTGGTCATTGCAAGGCCAAAGCCATGGTAAGTCTCCTATTCCCGGGACGCTCTCATGCTGTTTAGTAACCAGATTACAGCTTGGGTACGCATTACTTAGCAACCCTTGCCAGGAACGCTTTTCGTCTGCCTGGTGAGAAGGCTGAGACTCTTCCTTCAGGGGCACTATCAGATAAGTGTCCTGTCACGTGTGCGCAGAGTTTTTGTGATACAGTGGCAGGGCGATGGGAGCTGAAGGCCACTCAGATGTGGCACTGAATGGCACTGTGTGACTTGGCCCTATTTCTTGCAGAAAACACACTCCATCCATGTTTCATGCCCTGCCCAGCCTGCTGCTTCATCTCCAGGTGCAGAGGAAGGTTTTTGTGTTTTTTTCACTAAGATGCTACTGTCTTGGGACCTGGTTGTTTTATAAAGTTTCTTTCCAGTTCTAAGTTAGTACAACGATTCTGATGAGCTGATGTACAGAAAATGGTACCCCTGTCCTTTCTGATGTCTTCTTGGTCAAGCCTAGGCTGTATTTATTGCTTCTCAAATGGTAGCTTGATTTGCTGGGTTTGCAGATCTTCCCTGGGGTGACAGCGCTGACTGTCCATGCAGGAATGGACAGATAGAGCTGAAGTTATTTACTTTGTGAATAATTTTTTTTTCTGAGTATCAGTTCCATTAAATAGTTTGGGTTTGGGGTTTTGGGGTTTTGTTGGGGGTTTTTTTGTTTGTTTGTTTGTTAAATGAGTATAACGGTGCTGAAAATGTAAAAAGTAAATAATTAGACCTATAAAATAGGACATTTATTTTTATATAGTGATCTAATTGAAGATGTTCCCCTTATTAGTGTTAAGGTAGTGTAATCTTTTTGTGCAGGCAACTGCAGAAGTAGGAAAGTACTTCAAACTAGCAGAAGATTTTTCACACATGGTCTCTTTATGAAGCGCCGTCTTGCTTTTCGTCTGGTCTGAAACAAGACTGCAAACCTGGCTCGATCGGGAGTCTCCATGTCCACCTGGAAGGCAAATCCGGACGGCCGGAGGCGTTGCCGGCTGCCGGCGGTCTTGGCAGAGCCCCGCGTGTGCGGCTGCTCCAGGCCTTGCCAGGGTATGTCTACCTTTCCTGTCCTTCGCTTTCGGGGTCCCTTCCCCGTGTGGGGAACCCCCAAAGCCGGCCAAAGGCTCCCGCGGGCGAGGAGCGCACCCCGCGCCGGCGGTGCGGAGCGCCGGGCTCGGCGCCGCCGGGAGCTGCTGGAGTGAGAACTTGAAAGGAGCCGTCGGTGGCGAGAAGAGGCGGACAAAGCAAGCGCCGGGCTACCGAACGCGGCGCTCTGCCGGCGAGTTTTAAGGCGCTTCAAGTCTAAAGGAGAAGTGACAGGGCAATCATCTCCCCGACTTGGCTGCGGATGGGAGGGTGGAATCTTGCTAACAGCTCGTGTATCTGTATATTTAATTGCGACCTGGCTGCATGTTCCTGTTGAGGAAGGATGCAGATCACAAGCGAATCTATAAAAACGCAGTTGACAAGCCCGGGAAAGGGATGACTGACAGATGAAACGACAGTCAGCGCGGAGCTAACTGGCAAACGCATCGGTACAAAGTCAGATACCTTTTGAGAGGAGTAGTAGTTTGTTTTATTCCGGTTCTCCAGAGTTTTATCTACTGTCGGTGTGATGGGGTAGAGAGGAGCTAATGTGCCCTGTTTAGGATACAAACATGCAGATTAGATCAGGCTTCAGACACCGTGTTTCACTCAAGACTTAAGAACAGTTAGAGGAATAAACCAGGCTTCCCCCACCGAGGAAAACATGGAATTTTCTTTTAATGATTTAAAGGTGATTTAAACTTGTTTAAACACAACCGTTTCACATACGGATATAGGGAGCTATCGGGAGTTGATGGGGTCGGGAGCTGGGGCCCGGAGCTCGCCGCCACCGTTGTGCGAGGCTGGGGCATTGGGAATATCAGCCCAGATCCCGTTTTCTTCACTTTTGTGTTACTTTAAGTTTTCAATGAGGCTAGTGTAATTACGAGGCGTTTAACTTTTTGCCAGACTCTTTCATTATGGCTTTGCATTTGCACCTCGCTTTTAAGGGAAGTAATAACATTCACAGTCAGGGGCAAATCCTGTTAATGAACAAATTAAAGTTCAAACAGTTATTCAAGTTCACAGCCCCACTCGCTGCTCCTTTAATAAGAGTTATACATGTTACTTTCTCTCGGGATCACTCCCCCTTTTATTACTTTTTAAGCTTTTCATAAGCACTAGCGAGCTATACGGCCAGCTCCCAGCCTTTAAAGAGCCCACAAATCCTGAAGGGAGCCCTAATCCGACCTTAATTTGGCAACTTTTGTAAAAGACATAAAAGCTCGGGTGCCACCCTTGTGCGCTCAGATTATAATGTCAGGGGACAAGCCGGTGGAAGGCTCCCTCTATCCCGCACCCACCTATTTGAGTTGGCTCCCTCCTTCCGGAGCTGTTCAAAAAGGCTCCGTTAGTCCCTCACGGGTACCAGAAGAGAAATTAGGGAGTCTGGTTGATATCCTGGGAATTTCCACACCCTCCCACGAAAGCTCTACCTGGCTGTGCTGGGCGCGGTCTGCCGGGGCGGCCGGTCCTCCCAGCACGTCCCGCAGCGCTGCCCTTGGGCCGGAGCCCGTTGCCTGCCTTCAAGAGTAAGCAACGTGGAGTTAAAAAAAAAAACCAACCCCCCCCCGAAAATATAAATCCTTGCGCTCTTCTTCTCTTCCCGCCCCTCTTCTTTTTCTCCAGACCTTGTGCGATTAGACTGCGCTCACCTCGGCATTTGCATAACACGAATCTAAATTCCCCTTGTCAGGGGCTGCCCGGGCCCGGGGGAGCCGCGGCTCCCGGTGGGACCGGGCGGGGAGCGGGGCGGTGCCCCCGCGGGGCCGGGCTCCGGGCCGGGGGGCGGCGGGCAGAGTCCAACAAAGCCCGGGGAGTTTGACACTGGTTCACGGCAGCGCCGGTGCAAAAGCGCTGTCTACGTACAAACAGAGGAGATCACACTCCCCATTATCTACCTCCTGGCGAGTGTTTGATTTGTGACATCAAAAGCTTATCAAGGCAAGCAAAAAAAAAAAAAAAAAAAAGGAAGGGGAAAAAAGCACCTCTTCATGGAGGGAGGTCGCTGCGGTTTGGGTGATGCGGGGGAGGAGGAAGGGGCCGGTACTGACAAAATGCCGCCGGTGCCAGGGAGGCGATTCCTGTCCCGCCCGTGTCCCTGCGGGCCGAGCGGCGGGGCTGGTGCGGGGCCGGCCGCGGGTGCGGGGCGCTGCCGCGGGCGCGCAGAGCAGCGGGCGGGCGGGCTGGCCTCGGCGGAGGGCTGGAGGGAGGCCCTGATTCCTCGCAGCCATCCACACAGAAGTGGTTTGATATAATCACCATGACAACTGCCGCCTATAAGCATACAAATAATAGAGATGAAATAGACAAAAGATTAGCATGCCATGAAAAGTACAATAAGTTTCTTATTTAGCATTTAGATAACTGTCTTTCCTTCGGAGCAGGCTTCAAAGTTGAACCCAGTTTAGACCAAGAGGATTAATTCTTTCTCCCGCATGCTTCATTGAATCTCTCATTACCAAACTTTGTCTGTATTGATGTAAGATTTGATTGAAGATTAGAGCATTTAGCAAATCTTGCTTTTCTGCATGTATCAGGCCTTTTCAAGCGCAGACCGTGCTGCCCAGTGGTCAATACCCTTACTTTTATCCAGTGTCTGCTTCATTTAAACTTAATCAACTCCCTCAATGAACTGGAACAGGGAAACGTCCCTGAGGTAAGAATGTTGTGCTGTTCTTAGATAATTCTTTGCTCCCTCTCCCAATCCGCTGGCGTTAAACCTAAAATTGCTCTCTGATGAACTTAATCAATATGATAATGACAATTGGGGCTGAATGGCTCGGCCTGGGCTCGGCACGGAAAAGGTAGATGGCTGTGCCCATAGCCTAAAAGCAACTTCTCCTTTCTCGCTTCTTTTGTGTGCACTGCTCCCACCTTTCTTTCTCTCTCTCCCCCTCTTCCCCCCTCTCCGTGACACCGACCGCTGCTCACGCTGGAGAATGATGCTTCTTTGTGCGGCAGGAGGACTCGTATGTCACCGCCCGGAGGAGCGGAGCGGAGCGATTGGCCGGGTGAATTATCTGCCTTGTTGCAGTGAATTATTTGCGCTGTTTCCTTTCCCAGTCAACAAGTTTCTGAGGTATAGCGCAGATCAATCAAAGCTGACAGAGCGCATGTGAAGCTTTTACTGTGTAAATCTGGACCTCTTGTCCCGGCTTCGTTGGCACTGGCATCTGTATATCATTTTTATACTGCTACCAGTAGAGCAATTTCAAAAGTATTTGCAAGGAAAATGGATGTCCCCATCTGTTCCTGGAATCATAAATGTGCCACTTTCGGAGGGTTTTCACTGGTAATCATATCTTTAATGATGAACAAACTTGTGATATATACCTTTCCATAAAATGGGGTTTTCTTCACTTTATTGTGATTGGCTGGGATAAATAGCTTTTCCATATGTTAGGAAGATAAAACATAAGATTACCAGACCTCGTTTGTTTGATCATAAACAAAAGAAACAATTCGCTCCAAACACTCTTTAAACAGAAACAACTGCAGAATTAAATTGTATTAACAAGCTATCGATGGGTCATGAGGCAAGCAACTGTCTCCGTGGAAAAGACAGCTGGTTTTAAAATACGAGTAGTCGGTCCTTCTCGCTATTCGGGTGACCTTAATGCAGACGTGGATTTTAAATACTCGATGCTAATTTTAATTTTTTCTTAAAAATATCTTGTCTTTATCTCCGTATTTTTTTCTCCAGCTTGACTTTGAATTTCCTTAAGTGCCAGAACAAGGATGAGGTGCCGGATAGTGCATTGCCGTGTGCTATATTTAGAAAGCAGCTGGAAGAGAAAATGTCCTCAGGAATCCGGACTGTTTTGTTGTAAATGTCCCTCCAGTCCCAGCACTGTAAACGTAAACGCTCGTTCTACAGACGTGTCAGCGCTTGGCGCTACCTGGGAGAGCTGGGTAAGGATGGGTTCGGGGAGCCACTGTTTACTCCACGGCACTGCCCAGCAGCCTTGGCGGTGTCCTGCGGTGATGAGAGGTGCCGTGGCCGGGGCTGCCCGGCGGCGGGGCTGCCTGCGCACCCCCGCGGTGAGGGGCAGAGGTGCCTGGGTTTCTCTCCCCCAGAGGCACATCCGGGGGAACCGGCAGGTTGCATGCACCCATTTCTCCCTGCAGAGCGCCTCAGCCGCGAGGCTCACTGCCCGGAGCCCCAAAAGGGACACTCCATCTGCGTTTCGGTGGGGCAGCACTCTCCGCCCGGCACCGGCCCGGACCGGGCAGTCCGGAGCGCAGTGGCGGGTCAGGTGGCACTGACAATCCTCCCCCTCCCTGGAGATTCAGCAGCCACAGTGCTCCCAGACCCGCCCCCCGCGTGGAGTGAGGGTTGATGCTAAAGGGGGTCTCGTAGGCTGAGGCTTGGCCCTTCGGGGAGGGGGACAGACCGTGCCGGAGGGACATCCCGCCTGGCTGTCACTCAAGGTGGAAGCCCCAACGGCCTCGGGACAGCCCCGGGGTGCGCTCTCCTTGAAGACTCCGCGGCCGAGGCAGGTTCCCCCCTCCTATGTAATGCTCCCCCACAACCTCGCTGTCCCTTCCTCTCGACCGGTGCCCCTCGGTGGGCACGGAGAGCCCGGGGCAGCGCTAAGCGGGCGGTTCCCAGCTGAGAGTACGGCCAGCGGCTGCTTCCAAGGGGGCGGCTTCCCACCCACACTTGCCCACCCCGCAGTGGGCTCTCGCGGCCAGGGGGATGAGTCGGTATCGGCGGGCGGGAAGTGGGCAAGTTAACGTTTCTTAAGGCCAGAAGAGACCATTAAATCATCTGCCTGACCTCTCGTGTTACAGGGCCGTATAATTCCATCCAGTCCTAAGGCATTAAGCGAAATAATTTGTGTTTCAGTAAAATGTGCCTTCCAGAAAGTCTCATGGTCTTAACGATTTCAAGAAATAGAGATTTTGCTCTTGTCCTGGAGAGTTTGTTGTGGCAGTTAACCCCTGGTTAGGGATGAGCCTTATTTCCACAACACGTTGCCTTTGTTTAAATTACTCCCCAATGCCAGGCTTATATTTTGGAGCCAACTACGTTGTTGCAACTGTGGCCACCTCGGCTTTCCCCTTCCTTTCGCACAGGTGTCATGCCTGGCGTTAGCACAGAGGAGGGCCTGGCTCCACCTCGGGCTGCCTGGGGAATTCTGAGTTATCCAACATCAGACTGCCATAGTGCTCAGCGTGCCTGATGACCGTGGAAAGGAAGAGTCCCAGCACCTCAAGCTGGGTAGACCAATGGGACATACCATTGAAAACCACTGCTCAAAGGGCCTAGTGAAATCATGGGCCAACACCCTTTCTAACCAAGCCAGTGCCCAATGGGAGAAGGACCAGGTACCTTCTTGGGAAGCTCTACTCTTCACTGGGCAGGCAATGCCTGTGGGTTCCTGTATGCAGGTGGTTGGGATTCTGTGGGATCGGAGTATTTGTGGAAGAGGAGAATAATTGTATCTGTTGATCACCTAGGGCTCAAAAGATTTTACTTCTCTAGTTAATGGTTGCTGCCTCTGTCCCAGAGCAATGCTGTTGGCGAACACACTGCAGTAGCATGAAACCAATCCTGCTTCAGAGGAGCAGCCGCCCAGCTGCTGGCACCGTCCCGAGGTAAAGCAGCTGGACAGAAGCTGAGGAGATGGTGCAGGGTCCCCGCCACCCTCAAGCAGGGCAGCGTGTCCAGTGCCCCCCGCATGGCCCAGGCCTACGTGGGGAGAAGACATGCCTGGGGCTGCGGCTGTCTGTCCCCATCCGACCCCATCGCCGCCACCCCTTCTCCTGACACGGGGTTGGGGGTGGGGGCGGCGCTCCTGCCGTTACCTGTGGCCCCGGGGGGAGGCGGCCCCCGTGCCACCGGTCCCCTCCGAGCGACGCGCCACCACATCTGAGCGCCAGGCAACTGGTTTTGTCGCTTGCTTTAAGACGCATCCTGCCTGGTCTCTCTTGTTTCATTACCCGAAATCCCAGAGAAACCACCCGGCAGGATCAATCAGTCGCAGGCAGCCAGACAGTTTTCTTGTACTTTATTAAAGTGTAATCAAACATCGGTTAAGTGGAAAATAAATATCCAGATCTAATAAGCTGCTCAGTCAGATCGTGTAAATGCAAATTACAAGCTGGTTCCCATCTCCCCGCCGGGGGACTGAACAAGCCACAGCAATTGCTTCATCCACCGCGATTGTAAATCAACTAAAATAATGGCTGGATAATGACCAGTTTGCGGTTTCAAGCAGATTGAATGATAACA